CGCATTATTCTTTGGCATTAGTCTTGGAATGAATAAAGTTAAAGTTAAAATGCCTTCTTTAGTGCTTTCGCCAATTATTCTAAAGAAACTGAGGAACTTAAGACTGAATCAACAAAATCAATCAAAGAATTTAAGGATGACTATATTTCACCGATCTATCATTTAAACGCTAATGTCAAGCATTGCATTGAGAAGCTTTCAAACCAATCTGATAATCTAAATCATTCAGGTATTTTATATTAAAATAGATTTACTATCTAAGATGAATAAAGTGACAGTAAAAATATAATCAAGAAATAATGCTGCTTAATCTGGTCCTTCATTTAAATTATTAAGATTTATTAGAGCCTTTACGTAAAGAGCTTATTAGAATAAAACTACAAGCAAAAGAAACCTCTCAAAGCTTACAACATGAACAAGAAATGATACAATTAGAATTAAAAATGCCATCAGAATCTGCTGAAGCGCCTGATGTAAAAAGTATGAGATTTAAATCCTATTTCATAGATAAATATTAGTATGAAACTTCTTGCTAATACTGGTATCTACGGTACGTTAGCATATGTTGTAGTTATAACCTTGATTGATTGATTTTGTAGATCAGTATTCCGATATCGGAATACCTGAAGAAGCTATGCTTATGGAATGGCCAAATAAGAGCTTAAAAGAGGCAATTTTACAAGAATTCTTAAGCCTAGACAACCAGTACAAAGAGCGATTAAACCAATTAAAGGAACAACATCAGCAAATTTTAAAGTTCGTATCTATTAGGAAATTTTAAGATTACAGTAGTAAATTATGTGCACGATATAACGTCTAAACACTCTTGTTAATTCTCTTCGCTTACCGTCTAGATCAAGGTTAGGCGATTGGTCAGAAGAGAATCACTTGCAATTCGTAATGCTTCGAGAGCAATATCCGACAACCATGAGAAATAGAAGAAAGTTGCTCCTAGATCGGATAAAGCGTCAGTTACCGACTATATCCGTTTTAGAATTTGTAAGAAAATTGCACTAGCTGTGCTAAATTGAACTGCAGTATAGGCGCAATAAATACTATCTTAAATTTTATTATTTCCTTGTATACGTATTATAGGATAAACATGAGCGTTGGTGGATCGAATATAACTGGTATCATGAACGGCGAACTGAACTGCTACATAGCTGGTCTCGATCGCGTAATGAATTATTAATTAAAAGCAAAGCTCTACTAGCTGATGCTTGGTCAAATAATGAAGTAATTAAAGCCAAGGAAGTGGCAATAAGACAGCAAGAACGTCTTTGTCAAGAATTACACCAAAAAGTTTGTATAACTAATTAAACTCTCGTTTCTATAAAAATTAATCCTATTAATCTGTGATAGCATTGCTAGTGATTGCTGGTGAGAATATACCACCCAATTGATCGATCGTAAATCAATTACTTATCTTTCGTGACATGGCTTAAGGTTACGATATGGCGTGAACAAAAATTAGAGCTGCTAAAATTAGAAGAAGAAA